TTCTGCCCCCCCCACTTCCAGTTCTGCTGCCGCCACGGCACATCGCCCGCTGTGTTTTTTGGCCCCCCCCCCAAGTTTGGGCACACAAGCCCAAAAAGGTTCTCCACTACTGTTAAGGAGTCGAGGTAGACATCCAATCTTGGGAAGTATTTTAAAAAGGCCGTCCCTGCTAACTAAATCAAAGGCTTTTGTGAGGTCTATGAAGGCCACAAAGAGTCGCTGGTGTTGTTCCCTACATTTCTCCTGCAACTGTCTGAGGGAGAATACCATGTCAGTGGTGGATCTATTAGCTCAAAATCCACACTGTGACTCTGGATAGACTGTTTGCTAGCACCTGGAGTCACTTCAGCACAACACGGGCAAGCAGCTTCCCTACAACACTGAGAAGAGAGATGCCACGGAAGTTACTGCAGTCACCCGTTTCCTTTGTTCTTGTACGGTGGTGCCTCGCATAGCGAGGTTAATCCATTCCGGATTAACCTTCGCTATGCTGAAGCATCGTTGAACGGGGCAGGGAATTCCATTGGAACGCATTAAACATGGTTTAATGCGTTCCAAATGGGCCGAATACTCACCGTTCAGCGATGCTTCTTAATGGCCGGCAGCCATTTTCGCGCCCTCCCCTCGCTTAACGAGGGCGCGAAAACGCTGCGCGTGGCCATTTTGGGCCATTTCCGGGCTTCCGGTGGCCATTTTGGCCGCTGAACAGGTGATCGTCGGGGCTTCGTTTTGCGAAGATCGGTAAGTGAAACGCTTACCGATCTTCGCAAAGCAAATTTTGCCCTATCTAAAAAACCTTGAGCGATCGCATTAGCGATCCCAAAAAAGGGATCGCTATGCGATTTCGTCGTTGTACGGTGCGCTCGTTAAGCGAGGCACCACTGTATAATGTGACGATGTTTGCATCCTTCATGTCCTGTAGTACTCCACCTTGCCTCTAGCAAAGATGAAAGATTTCATAGTTTATGGGTGATTATCTCTTTACAGCATTTCAGCACTTCAATAGGGATGTTATCCTTCCCAGGTGCGTTGCCGGAGTCGAGGGAATCCAAGGTCGCTTCTATTTCTGCTGAAGTTGGTTCGTTGTCCAACTCTTTCAAGACAGGCAGGCACTCAATGTTATTTATTTATTTATTTGATTTGTATCCCGCCCATCTGGTATATCATACCACTCTGGGCGGCTAACAGCAAGGATATATATTTAGTGCCTCTTCGGTTACGACATTATCTCTGGAATATAAGAATTAAATATTACCTGTTGTGTTGATTGCATAGCTCAAGAACTTTTAGTTTAGGGCAGTGGTTCCCAGCCTCCCCCCCCCCAAGACATTTTTGGACTGCAACTCCCAGATGTCTTCACCGCTAGCTCTTCCAGCAGGGGCTTCTGGGAGCTTCAGTCCAAGAATATCTGGGGACCCATTGGGAACCACTAGTTTGGGGTCTGTCAGTGCAGAAAGTCCAGAAAGGATAATAGAAATCACAGATGCGACTTGATGAAATTATCTCTTTAAAATGGAGCAGGGGTAAGCAATGAAACCACAAGGCATCTACCTGTTCTATGCATGTTCTATGCATAGGTAGCTGCTAATTGAATTGCAGATACAAGAAGAATGTCTCGATTTTTTTTGTCAGTAGGGAATTTCAAGCTTCAATCCGAAGAACTATTTTTAAATTCTGAGAGGCGATTGAGTTTCTCATACAAATATTTAATAAAATAATTGTGTGCCCTCAAATCAATTCTTATACCAAACTAGAGGAAAAATATTTTTCAGTAGCTAAGATACCCAGTGTAGTATATTGCACTGGGTTCCCAACCTTGGGTAACCCCGGTGTTCTTGGACTGTAGTTGCTAGAAGCCTTCACCACCACCTGTGCTGCCCTGGGTTTCTGGAAGTTACATTCCAAGAACACCTGAGTTATCCAAGGTTGGGAAGTATTGGTATAGTGGATAGAGTGATGGACTAGGACTCTGGAGACCTAGGTTTGAAATTAGCTGGGGGAATGACGCTGGTAGAACCACTCCTTAAATATCAGACTTACCTTAAAAGCCCTTCTAGGTCGCTGTAAGTCAGTTACTACCTGACGGCACATAACAGCTAAGATTAGGTACCAGTGGAGGCACCTAGAGTGCTTTCCCAGTGTTCTTCTATAGCTTTGTGTGGTATATCCGTGAAGGTTGTGAGTCCGCCAGGTGAGGCAACATGGAAGTTGAGTCATGGCAACTGGACTTCTCATTAGGTTGAAACGTTTAGCTACTCATCCAAGTTTTAGCTTTTTCAGTCTCAGAAGAGTTGGTAGGAGACCCCTGATATATCTTCCACGTTGGTTTCACTTCCCCCCTGGTCTGAATTCAGGGGGGAGGCGCGAATATATCAGGGGTCTCCTACCAACTCCTCTCAGACTGACTCAACTTCCAGAGTTAGCTCATTAGGTGCAGCCAAGGGCTGAGAGGGCGGTGTGTGGAGAAAGCCTGTGCCCGTTCCCCGCTCCTTTTGAGCCCATCAGATAGAAGAAAAGCGTTGGGGTGGCTGGTGTGCGCAATTTGATCTTGGATTTCTTCTTAGGTCATTGACTATTTATTTATTTAATTTATATGCCGCCCACTCTACCCAAAGGTCTCTGGGCGGCTTATAACTAACTCAATATCACTCGTTTTATGGCCCTGAGACATATTAACAGTTGCATAACTGCATAACTGGGAAGCTGCATATACAGTAATAACCTGCAACGAATCCCAGTAAGGTTATGCCCAAATATAGGCTCAAGAAGTCGGGTTTACAACAGCCGCGCAATATAATCCAAGTTAAGACTGCCGGTCAGAGGCGGCGATAAATCTGCTTTCGTTTTCCAGCCACAATAAAAAAACAAAAACAAAACAAGATTCCCTTTCCAAAACATCTTTCAGTTTCCGGAATATCTTTCGCTACTTACAATTCCAATTGCCGCCCGCCCCCACCCCGCGACCTTCCAGACCAAATCCAGCAAAGGGAGCTTTATGTATTTTCTTCAATGATAGGTCTCACTTCCAAACACATTTTAAAAAAAGAAGAAGTTAAGCTTTCACACGGAACAAGAACGTTGTTGGAAAGAAAGCAGAACTTCCGTCTACATTTCTCAGCGGGCAGGTGGTTGGCGAATCAACCGCCGCCGCTGTCTCCTCACAAAGGGAAACCCCGGATCTGCTCCGCGATGCCTCTGGCAGAAAGAGGGAACAAAACGGGCTCCTCGCAACCGGGATCCGGAGTACGAGACTCCCTGTTCTCTTCGGGTGCAAAAGAAAAGCGGAAAGGCAGGGGTGGATCCCCGCCCCCCCTCTCTCTTTCCCCTCCCTCCGTGCGGATGATTAACCGGAAGTAGCTGCTGCGAGAGCCCAGCGGCGACCGGAACCTCGTCTGTGGCGAAGCTACACGGCGGCGGCGGTTGGGCCGGCTCGGGGTCAGGCTTGCTGAGCCATGGCGGGCACGGCGCTCAAGCGGCTCATGGCCGAGTATAAACGTAAGTGGTCGCGGGAGCGAAGGCAGCGGCCTTTTGGGGAGGGGAGAGCCTGGACCGCCTCTCTTTCTCCCCCCTCCCCGGTTGTATCAGTGGCCGGCCACCTCCGCTAGTTTCCCCGGGAGCCCTTTGTCTCGCCCTGCGCCCTCAGGTCCGTCTTTGCCCTTCTTCCTCTCACCCAGGAAGGGGATGGAGAGGGGAAGAAGCCGCCCTGACTGGCATTGAAACGATGGGTGCTGCGGGCTTGGAGGGGTGGTTTTTTTGGTTTTTTGGACTGCAGCTACTACGTATAACCCCTCTTCCTTGGTGGGTGGGGCTGGCGGGAGATGGAGGCAGAAAAGAAAAACCAAACCACACACTTCCCGTGGGCAGCGTTTAAAAAAAAATCATTTGCAAATTCACCTTTAATGGAAACATTTGTTATTTCTATTTCATCAGCTTACTTAGGCCTCCTTTCGTGCTTCGTGGGTGCAGAGAATAGGTGGCCTGTGCAGGAGGGGTTTGGGTTTTTTTCACCTGGACCAGTGGGGTGCAATGGAGGCAACTGCAAAATAGGGCATCTGAACATGGGTGAAGCTGTGAAGAGCAAAAGTGCTTGGTTTTTTTAAAAAAAGGGATTTTGGTGTGTTGGGTTTTCCCCTTGAACGCCAAAAATTCCTCAGGCAGAATTCTGGTGGTTCCAGCAAAAGGCCCACACCTGCAGGCACCTACATTTTGTGTACCTGGAGCAGGGCCTATCTCTGGGAAGCATAGACTGCAGTTGCTGGAATTCTCCTAGGAAGAATCCCAGGACAGCCCATGAACTATAGTTCAAAGATGAGCTTTCCTCATTTCTACGTGCACTTCTCTCGCCTTTATATTGCCTTTTCCAAAAGAACGAAATTGCTGGAAAAAAGCAGAACTTCCATCTACATTTCTCAGGTGATGTCATGAGATTCTCAGGGGATAACAGGATGGGTCATTCTTTGAGAACTAGAGAACCTAATAACACTGCCTGTCCCATGATCCCTTGAGACTCCCCTTGCCACTCCAAGGTACCACTAGTAGTGGTTCTCTTCTTGAAGGCCAGTATAATGGCGATGGAACCCTGCATGGCGATGAGGAAGCCTCCTTTTGAAACTCTTGTTTGGGGGCTGCTTCTCCCAGGATTGTGCCTGGCGAAAATCGGGGGATTTGCAGTCGAATAGAAATGTATTTATTTATTTATTGGATTTATACCCAGTACCATTTGGCAACGAGACCACTCTGCGTGGCTAAGCAGTCGAATAGAAATGTATTTATTTATTTTTTGGATTTATACCTGGTGCCATCTTGCAACCAGGCCACTCTGGGTGGTTGGCAACAAGAAATGTAACAATATCAAAACACAGTAAAAATAATACATACATTCAATCAAATATTATAACAGCAGGATAAATTAAGACAGATAGCAATGAAGGTGGTAAAAAGGATGATGAAAAGGATGCCAGAAAGGATGGTAAAAGGGAGGCTGAGAGCTCAAAAACGTAATGCTCGGGGAAAGCCTGGCGGAAGAGCCAGGTCTTCAGTGCTCATTTGAACCCATCCAGCGATGGTGCCAAGCGGATCTCCATGGGCAGATTGTTCCACAGGCTGGGGGCGACTGCTGAGAAGGCCTGGTTTCTTGTTATTTCCCTCTGGATCTCCTTCGGGGTCAAGGCCCTCAACCACCCTGCCTGTGAAGAACGGGTATTACAGATAGATCTGACTGGAAGCAGGCGTTCTGATAGGTACCAAAGTCCTGAACCATTTAGGGCATTGAATGTTATCATCATACCCTTGATGTCGATAGGGAAACGAATCGGTAACCAATGAAGGGTGGCCAGACTGGGGGAGATGTGCTGGAATTTCTTCATCCCAATTATTAATCTGGCCGTTGAATTTTGGACCAGTTGAAGTCTCCATATCAGTCGGAGATGTGCTGGAATTTCTTCATCCCAATAATTAATCTGGCCACTGAGTTTTGGACCAGTTGAAGTCTCCACATCAGTGTCAGGGCTACCCCCACAGAGAGCACTGCAATAGTCTATTCTTGAGATTACAAGTGCATGAATCAGTGTTGTGAGTGCCCTCACGTCTAGATAGGGACGCAGCTGGGCAATCCTCTGAAGGTGAAAATGGGCTGCCCTGACCACATATGTCACCTGGGTTTCCATGGTGAAATCTGGGTCCAGGCAGATGCACAAGCTGCGAACCTCATTCTTCATGGGAAGAGTCACTCCCCGAAAGGAGAGGGGGTTTCCCAATCCACTGACGTCAGGGCCGCCCGAAAGGAGAGGGGGTTTCCCAACCCACTGACCTCAGGGCCGCCCACATGCAAGATTTCTGTCTTGTCCAGATTCAACCTCAGTCCATTTGCCCTCATCCACCCCAGAATGGTCTCCAAGCAGTGTTTAAGGGTCAGAACAGCATCCACTGCAGTTGGAAAAAAGGAGAGGTGGAGCTGGGTGTCATCAGCATTCTGATGACACCGGGCCCCACAGCTCCAGATGACCTCAACCAGAGGCCTCATACAGATATTAAATAGCATTGGCGAGATGATTGACCCCTGCAGAAGCCCACAATTGAGGATCCACAGGGTGGAAGTCATCTCGTCAAGCTGCACTCTCTGGGGACGGTCCTCCAAGAAGGAACGGAGCAATGCCAAAGTGAGGCCACTGATCCCCAACTCAGAGAGCTGCCCCAGGAGGATACCGTGGTCAAAGGTATCAAAGGCTACTGAAATATCGAGGAGAACCAACAAGGACATATTGTCCTTGTTGGCCTCCCTCAGGAGGTCATACTGCAGGACGACCAGTGGTGTTTCCGTACCATGCTGACACCTGAAGCCTGACTGGAATGGATTAAGGACATCAGTTTCCTCCAAGAGTGCCTGGAGCTGATCGGCCACCACCCTCTCGACCACGTTACTCAAGAAAGAAGCATAGGTGACGGGCCTATAATTTCCAGTTTTGTCCGCCACCAAATTAGGTTTTTTTTTTCCAATGGGCCTAATGAGTGTGTCCTTGAGGGCAGGGGGAACCATGCCCTCCTGGAGAGACCCATTATTGCAGTGGCTCATTCTGCTGTTACTGGCTTGGCTGCTTTGATGAGCCAGGCTGGACAGGGTTCTAAAGCAGAGGTGGCAGCACGACAGAGCGCAAGCACCCTGTCCACCTCATTGGATGTCACAGGTTGAAAGCAAGTTAACCTCATTGAACAAGATGATGCGCTGGACATCTCAGCTCGATCTCCTATTTGTAAAAAGGGATGGAACAAGATGATGCGCTGGACATCTCAGCTTGATCTCCTATTTGTAAAAAGGGATCAAGGTCCCAGCGGATGCCTCCACTTTAGATTTTAAAAATGCCGCAAATTGGTCACAGGAAATACTAGAGGGAGGCCTATCACTGTGGCCAACTCTGGATAGATCACGTACTATATGGAAAAGTTCCACCTGCTGGTTGTGAGCTTTACTTATCCGGTCAGCGAAGAATGTTCTAGACGTGATCCTGGCAGCTTTGAGATTAATTTCTGTCGGGACCCTTCTCCAAGTGCTCTCTTCTCCGATTACGCTTCTTGGCCCTCAGCTGCTGGTTAAACCAGGGGGCTGGTTGGGCTTGGTGGCTCAGAGAGCGTTTAGGTGCAATCATGTCAACTGCCCTGGTGGCAGCAGTATACCAGCCATCCACCAGAGCATTGACAGGAGCGCCAACCAAGTCAGCCGGAATCCCCCGCATGGTATCTTGAAATCCATCTGGATCCAGTAACTTGTGGGGGCAGACCATCTTAATGGGTCCAAGCTCCCTGTGGGAGGGAAGTGCCACTGAGAGGCTGCATTTAATGATGACAAGGGGGCCGATACTAAGTCGGCCACCACTGGAGCACACTCTCTGCTCGGCAGCAAAGACCCAATCCAGCATATGGACACCCACGTGGGTAGGACCATTGACTTGCTGGGTCAAGTCCAAGGAAGCCATGGTTTCCAGGAACTCATGAGCTGGGCCAGAAACCTCAGCCTCCACATGAATGTTAAAAGTTCCCCAGAACCAATAGTCTGGGGGACCTCAACAGTGTCGTGGAGATGAAATCCACCAGCTCCGGTAGGGACTGCGCTGGATCACGGGGAGCGTGATATGGCAGCACAATCCTAAAGCCACATCTCTCCCCAAACACGTGGATGGCCTCTAGACCCGGGCTTACCACTGCAGAGAGCCTAGCAGCCTCAAAGATGTCATTAAAATGGCAGCTCCCCCACCACCACCACCGGCCTGGTCTGCCCAGAAACAGAAGTCCCATGCCTATTCTCTGAGGCGGTGTGGCTGTCTTTAGCCTTGTTTTGTGTACAAAACTGGAAGCTGCTGCAGTACTTTCTTGGTATCTTAGTTTTTCAGGAGGTGCCCTCTATAGCAAGGGTCCCCAACCCCCAGTCCGCGGCCCAGTGCAAGTCCATGGGCTTTCTGGAACTGGGCTGCAGAGATGGGTCTCTGCTCCCTTGCATGCATGCATGCATGGTGGGCGTGTCACGCTTGCGGACACAGGAAATGTTGTGATGCAGTTTTGTTTGAAGCTAAGGTTCTCATTAAAAATATGTAATCATTAACTTTGTTGAATGATATGTTTTGTCATTAAGTTTGTCCTGTATAGAGCAACTTGGAATTAAAAGTTAGATCATTAGTTCTCATTGTTTGACCCTCAGTTCCCAGCAGCCTGAGCTGCTATAGCTGAAGCAGGCAATCTCAGGGGCTTTGAAGCCAGATTTTTTGCACCCAGCCTCTACCAGTGATTTTACTGGGTTATTGGCAGATGATTGTTTCCAGGTTTTTGTTTTTCATTTTGAGGGTAGAAGGGGCCATAGGGGACTCTTTCAAGCCCCCCTAACTGAAAACTGCTGTTTCTGGGGGCTTCCGGCAAGAGAAGTAGATGGTTTTTGACCTCTATAAATGCATACATATTTTGCTCCCAGTGTAGTATATAGTGGATAAAGTGATGAACCATGACTCAGGAGACCTGGGTTTGAATCTCCAGTTGACCATAGTAATTCACTGGGGGTGGCATTGTTTAACCCATTTTGTCAGTGTCACATTGAAACTGCTGTTATCATTGCTGTAAGCTGGATGTAACTTAATGACGAATAACAGATATATATCTTGACTCTTTGCAGGCATGAGCACCATACAGGCCATAGACTCCATCCTGCACAGAGAATATATGCTAATAAACACATTTAAAATAAGGGGCAGGAATAACCTTGAAGTCCTACAACAATGCCCTTGGGGTGCAGCATAGAGCTTGTGAGCTACATGATGGCTGCTCTTTCCTACAGTTTAGCAAATGTTAGGGGTTCTGAGGACAGAGGAACAAAACAGCTCTGCTGAACAATAAGTTGAGAAACAATGAGCAGGATGGTTTTGGACCCATAACTCGGTGATGTTAGAGAACATGTTTCATGTGGAGAGATGCCCGGTGTGTCTAGGTAGAGCTAGGAAACCCTTTATTAGGGAGAAAACATTATTTTGTTACTACTACAGTTTTACTATTATATTACTATAGTAGTCCTCAAAGCGTGGTAATGCTGTAGGAAACAGTAGAAGCCTCTGTGCAAGAAGCCTCTGTGTAAGATTGATTCCACGTGACGGAGTGAGCGCCCATCGCTTGCCCCAGCTCCCACCAATCTAGTGGTTCGAAAACATGCAAATGCGAGTAAATAAATAGGGACCACCTCGGTGGGAAGGTAGCAGTGTTCTGTGTCTAAGTTGCACTGGCTATGTGACTACGGAAGATTGTCTTCGGACAAAACGCTGGCTCTACGTCTTGGAAGCGGGGATGAGCATCGCCCCCTAGAGTCGGACACGACTGGACAAAAATGGTCCAGGGGAACTTTTACCTTACCTTTTTATTGACATCATCAAAATATAGGTGAAGTTTGCATCTTCACCACTAGAGGGCAATGACTCCTTTGTTACAGCCTGCTTTTCCCATCCTCTTTCTTCTGCTCAGTTCCTCTTCTAGAGGTTTTAGTGCTGGCACTATTTAACATATTCTCTGTAGAGAAATGGAAGGAATAATTTCCGTCTGCTGAAGCAGGGCACCTGTTCATTGAAAAATCAGAATCGGTTTCAGATCTCTTCCTCATTTAGAGTTGCATATGTTCGCTGTGTTATATATAAAACATAGCTCTGCAACAGTCAGAATGAGATTCTAAAAGTGAAAGGGAGGAGGTTTTGTCACAGAGCATTGCAACAAAAGTGTGTGTAACAGACATTACCATAGCAGTATAGACTCTGTGGATACTAGTGAATAATATCCATTTGGGTTCTTGAAGGCTTTCATGGCCGGGCTCTGATGGTTGTTGTGGGGTTTGTGGGCTGTTTGGCCATGTGGGTGTTTTGGTTTTTTTTAATCAATATGAAGTGTTAGAAATACTGAATCTTTCTTGTCTTTTTTTTAAATTTTAGAACTAACTCTGAATCCACCAGAAGGCATAGTAGCTGGTAAGGATTCATATTTATTCTTTTGTATTTCCTTCCTTACCTCAGAAATTCCAGTGACTAAAATAATTGCTTTCTTTGAATAGGCCCTATGAATGAAGAGAATTTCTTTGAATGGGAAGCATTGATAATGTAAGTGAATTATGTGATGTACATCTACAAAATATCAAAATATATAAGGATTTATGCTGGTGGGTATCATAAAGAAATAACCTAACATCTTGTGTGAATTCTTTAATCAGCAGCATTAAATTCAGAGATTCCTTTAAAATGTTTCAAGTTTTTGATATCTACCCACTTACAGAAGCACCCTAATAGGGCTGGAAAATGTTGTCAGTTTGTGAACTGGGAGAGCTCCGCTATGGGCACAGTCATCGTGAGTGGAACCAGATGCAGAGTTTGCTATCCAAGCAACTTCTCTTTTACTTGCTGTTGGTCTTCATTAGCAAGAATAACTCTGCCAGGTGTGTAGTAATGAGGATGAAGACGCCCAAATACTTTGGGGTAGGGCAATGTTCTAAAAACCTTGCCTTCCCAGCTAACTTAGAGTTTCCTCTCTGTTTCACTGTTCTTTAAGTGGAAAGCCCAGACCTGTGTTTTTAAAGGGTTTGTGTTCAGCTAGTTGGTTTTATAATTTAAGGAAGGACCTTTTAATGCAGAGATTAGCTGGTGCTCAATGGCCTCAAAGGTTTTCCCCTGGACTGTCAAGGCAGTATCATCAGTACATATGAAACTCCTGGAATATGGGAGCATTGGTTGCTTGTTTGTATAAATATTAAAAAGCAATGGTGCTAGGATACTGCCCTTTGTGAGATTGTTCCTTTGATTTCTCTAGCGACTGTGCCTCCCTTGAAATTCCACAAAGAATCCTGTTTTGAAGTAGAATAGCAACCATTTCTGTTAAACCATAATCTTTAGTAAGGAAGTAGAGTTTTTGGAGTAGTAATTGAAGGTGGATAGTATCATATGGTGTTCTAAGGTTGACAAATGCTACTCCATTTATTTTATGTGTTTCAAAACTTTCTTCTATATGCTGGGTTAGGTTTAAAATTTGAGCAGTACAGCTCTTGCCATGTCTAAAGTTGGCCTATTATGGAATTAGAAGAGGTTCAATTTTAGGGGCTAGATAGTTCAATATCATTTGTATAAGTAGCATAGTAAGGAGATTGGCCTGTAGCTTTTGGGCTCTGATGGTTCTTGCCTGGTTTCAGTACAGTGACTAGCGGGATGATTTCTATGATGTTTCTCATTTTCTTTGCAACCTGCATTTTAAATCATGGGCAAGTCCAAAGATGGCCTTTCTCTCCAGATTACTCGTAAACATGTTCAAACATGTCATAAACACAAATGTAGGTTACAGAAAAAAATCTGACATGTTATAGAAATCCTCCCCCTTAATGATTACTTTTTTCTTCCGCCATATTTTTAGCATTTCTTTGCCTGGTTCAGCATTATTAAACACTTGAAGAAGCCATTCCTTTGTGTTTTGTCCAAAATGTTTAATTTGTTCAATCCAGGTATCATTGAGTTCCACCACTTTTCCATCCATTTATTTTATGGCTTCCTCTAGTTCTGCCAATATGAAGGCAGTAGGAAGTTAACTGCACTTCTCATTTCCATTCCAAACAAAGTGAAGCTAAGAGTTCCTCTTTAAATAAAGAGATGCCCCCTCTATATCACTGATTTCACCAGTGATCAATTTGCAGCCTTTTCAAAATCAAGGATAGAGACCATCCAGCAAGAGCTTGACTCCACAAACAGTTTGATTGAGCTGGCAGAGATCTCCATCACATCTTCTCCCTCTGCTTGATTGGTCCTGTTTGAGCCTGTAGCATCGGAGGAAGTGTCCAGGGCTGTGGCCCACTGCAGATCAACCACCTCCCCAGCTTAGCCTGTGACCCGCTTGGCTGATAAAAGTGGCCAATGGGGCTACAATAGATTGAGCTGTTAACATTGTTAATGCCTCACTTATGGAGGGTTGCCTTCCCTCACGTGTGAGGAAAACTATTATCTTTTTTTTGTATTTAAATATTTTATTTTTAAACTACTAGGGATAGGGTAGGGAATACAAAAGGTAAAAGGAAGTGTAAGGAATTGGAAAAGGGTTTTAAGGATAGGAGAACACAGTATACAATCATCCAATCTATTCATATTAGGTGTACATGCCTCTGATCTGTTCATTTCTCAGTGCAAAAAACAACTTTGTATTCTAGACAGACAGACAGACAGACAGACAGACAGACAGACAGACAGACAGATATTGTTTGGTTATCCTCTAAATATCAGCTTATATTCATGTTTTAATTTAAATCTAAGTTATTCTATCTAAGTTATTCTCTATCAAGAAATCGAGACCAATTATAAAATACATCCCCTCCTTCAATTTCCTTCTGTCTTGGACGTACATTCAGCCTGCTTGGAAAGGTATCCATTTCTAGCACTTCCCATATTTTCTCAGTACTCTTCTCTTGTTCCTGTGACTCTATCTTCTTCCAGTTTTGGGGAAATAAAATTAAATCCAGGACAGTAGTCTGATTTTTAACATTACCGTTTCTGACTATTATAGCTGGGTAGCTCACAGGGTAACTCTTAATCTCATCTATGTTACCTGACATCACTCTCAATAAAAACTGTTCTGGAGTTAATACAGTTTCATTTAACTGTTGTTTAACCTTTGATGTTTTCCTTTTCATCAGGTCTTCTACCTGGCTGAGGCGCTCATTTACCTGCTGAAATCCTGTTATTATTGTCATTTGCATGGTAACCAGCCATTCTTTATCTGGCAAAATTCCCAACCGTTGATATTTAACATTTTAAATAGGTCATTTCCATCTTTCCAATACATATGGTTTGTATAAATAATATGTTTTTGATTCCACTATTTTATCAACAAACCAAACCCATCATCATAAACCTCCCCTAGGTATGTCCTCCCCTCCATGCCCAGATATTATAGCAATATTATCAAAATCCACAGAGTCCAACCAAAAGAGAGTCCAGACTAAACATCAAACAGGGAGCCAGTCTCTCTCTCTCTCTCTCAAAAAAAGTTGTAGTCCTTTAATAACTCCAGGCCTGATTTTCTTTGATCCTCTGTCTATTTATTCCGTTAAATTCCTCTCATTGATGAGCTGATAATTTACTGTCCGTTGCTCCCAGAAATTTATTCTTCTAAAACCAAAAGTGTTTCTGTTATCAGAGTCCCATTCGACTCTAGTCCTGGCTTCTCCCGCTCTTCAATCTATGTCGCCACACTGATGATTCATCGCCTGTTTTTTATTCCCAAAAGCTTATGCCTCCTGCTCCAAAGACAAGATTTTATTTTCAAAGTCCCACTCAAACTAGGGAGAAAAATCCAGACTACACAGCGCATTGACAAGATTTCAGTCCCTTGAAGCCTGTTGAGTAGTATTTCTTCTGGGATTTTTTTTCCAGAAACACAAGATTTTTCTGTCTCACTGTGTATCTCAATGACCTTGAGCCAGCTTGCTATTTATAAACTTGCTGTTTAACAGTCAGTTCGCTTGAAGAAACAGGCTGGCAGGCACGGCTTGCTGCTTCCTCTTTCTCCTTTCGGTCAAGTATTTTCACTTTAGTTTCTTTTACATCTTAATGAGGTTATTCATAAATCAAAGACTTACTTTGTTATTGTGCATTTTCGGCCGCATTTTTGTTCTCCTTCCTTGGAAATTTGAGGGTGGAGTTTCACACAGCTTTCTGCTAGAAGATGGCCTCCTGTCTCCGGTCTGTGCTTGGATGAATTTTCAGAGAGAAGAAAGACCTGGTTGCTGCCAAATCTTCTACCTTCTGGGCTCACCATCTGCTTCAGGGTGACCTCTCCTGGCCTCCTCTTCGGTCTGCCCCTTTCTAGGGGGACCCCAGACCGCACAGTTCCAACTTTTCCCGGGAGCTGTTGCCGGGAGCTTCTGGCTTCGCTGCGATCAAGCTCCTGAGGAAAACCATTATCCATCCCATTCTGAAATTATCTAATCTGGTGATAGATAACCGTAACTAAGCCAATTGCAAATATGCTCTTCATGGGCAAGATGATTGGGTAGGTGGTGGGAGAGCAGCTCCAGATGTACTCGGAGAAGGACAATTGCCTTGATCCATTTCAGTCTGGATTCAGGCCATGGCATAACTGCACCAGTTGCACTGCACAATGATCTTTTAAGAAAGACTGATGGGGAGGGCACACCCTGTTGGTGCCCCTGGATCTCTCAGAGGTTTTTGATACTGTCAACCATGGTATCCTCCTGGACAAGCTTGTGGAGTTGGGAATCAGGAGATTGGCGCTTAGCTGCCTCTGGTCCTTCCTAGGATGCCGAATCCAGGGAGTGCAGCTTAGGGATGAGTTGTTGGCCCCTTGGGCCCTCAATTGTAGGGTAGCCCAAGGATCGTCAGTTTCCCCAGGGCTTTTTAACATCTATGTTAAGCCACTGGGGGAGGTCATCAAGATCTGGAGTGTGGTGTCATCAGTAGACTGATGATATGAAACTATCTTTTCTTTTCATCCTGTGTGGCAGATGCTGTCTGAACACTGGAATGGTACCTGGCTTTGGTTCTAGAATGGACCAGGGCTGACAGGCTTAAGCTGAACCTGGACAAGATGGAGATCCTCCTTCTGGGGAGTCCCATTGACACACTTGAGAGTTTTCTCCCTAGGCTGGATGGTGTTGACCTTCTGCTTATGGATCAAGTTCAGAACCTGGGCATGCCCCTGGATCTGGCTCTCTCTTTGGATTCCCAGCTGCATCCACGTTGGTCTTTAATCAGCTTAGACTTATTACCTAGCTCTGCCCCTACTTAGCTCTCTCTTGGGATTCCCAGATTGCAGCTGCATCCAGGTTGGTCTTTAATCAGCTTAGACTCATTACCTAGCTCTGCCCCTACTTAAATGAGGGAGCTCTCAGGACATTGTTGCATGTGCTGGTGACTACCAGGATCAACTACAGTAATGCTGTCTACATGGGGCTTCCCTTGAGATTGGCCAGGAGACTGCAGAGGGTCCAGAATGTGGCTGTCAGGCTAGTGGTGAGTGTAAGTAAATTTGACCACACCTCCCCAGTCCTGGCTCACCTGCAGTGGTTACCTGTGACATTCTGGGTCAAGTTTAAGGTTTCGATGCTCAC